CTTTTTGGTTACACTTTGTATCATCCCAGTTATAAGAATATAAGGACTGGGAACTCTGCAACCAGACTACCTGGGCAAGTGACCTCAGGAAAGTCACCTAAACCTCTCTGTCCCTCAGTTTCCTCATCTGCAAAATAAGGATTAAAAAAAATTCTTCAAAAACTTGTAGGAATGAAACGAGTATGTGTGTTGTGTGCCTTTTACAGAGTATAAGTACCTTCTAAGTCTTTGCTACCATTATTATTATTACTACTGGGTTTTTTTGGTACAGAGATCAAACTCGGGACCTTGCACTTGTGAGGCAGGTGGCAGCACCACGGAGCTAAATCTCCAGCTTTACTACCATTATTAATAAGAAATCTGTCTTAGTTACATCTTCATTTCTGAGATGCAGTATCCAACACCTACAACTTAAAGGACAGGCTTCTTTTGGCTCACAGTTTGCAGAAGTTTCAGTTCAGTCAGCTGGCTCCAGGGCAGGGCAGGATGGTAAAGGGGTGGGGCAGAGGACGCTTGCTTATAGCATGGCAGTCAGGATGCACAGAGTTATGGGGGGGGGGGTAAGACCCTTCCAGACCACACCCCCAGTGCCCCACCTCCTCCAACCAAGCTTCATCTCCCAAATCATATCTAGCTATAAATTCATCGTGGACTAATCCACTGATAAGTATCATGCCTCCATGATCCAATTATCTCCCAAACGCCCCACCTCTGAGCACATGAGGCTTTAGGAGGACATCTAGACACAAACCATTACATTCCTCTACACCCCACCCGAGACTCATGCTCATCCCTTTATGGAAAATGCACTTAGTTCATCTCTATATGTTGCCAAAGTCCTAAAAATTTCAGCACTGCTGAAAAGTCCTAGTCCAGAGTCTCCTCTAAGATTTAAGGCAAGCTCTTAGCTATGAGCCCTTGTGAAAAATGAAAGTTAAACACTACTGACATACAAAGGCAAGGATAAACATTCCCATTCCAAAAGAGAGAAATAGGTGGATAGAAAGGAATGGCACCACAGCAAGTTCTAAATCCAGCAGGGCAAACATTGAATCCTATAGATCAGTGGTGGTAAACCTATGGCATGCATGGTGCAATGGGCTATTCTTTATCACTGAAAACTCTAAAAGGTTCACCATTGCTGCCATAGATCCATGACTAGTGCCTGGGTAACCTGTGGTGAGATATGAACTCCAAAGAGCTTGGATGGCCCTGCCCCTATGGCATTGCCAGTAGTTGTAGGACCATGGCCTCTCTTGGTCAGGCTTTGTTCACTCCTTGCTTAGCATTTTTTTCCAGTACTAAGAATCGAACTCAGGACCTTGTGCTACATCCCCAGCAAAAGGATGGCTGCTAGGGCTGGGGATTTAGCTCAGTGGTTTCGCCACCTGCTGCGCAAGCACAAGGACCCGAGTTCGATCCCCAATACCAAAAAAAAAAAAAAAAAAAGGATGGCTGCCAAACCCCAGCCTCCAGCATGACAGATGAGGAAACTCACCACTGTATTATCAAGGACAACCGCTCACTCCTTGCAGCTTTCTTCACGTGTTCCATGTTCCTGGCTTTTCTAACATCCTGGAATCTCCCCTGAACCTTTGGCTTCACACAGTGCCCTCGAAGGGGCACACTGCCTGGCCTCCCAGGTCTCCTTCTGAAATCTTGGTGGAAGCTTCCATGACCCCACAACTCTTACATTCTGTATGCACCCAGAACTAGCACTATGTGGGTGACACCAAGGCCTGCCACCAGCGGGAGCAGTAGCTGAGCCCTTGCGCATCTTGCTGGTGGTTGTGGAGGCCTCTGATGGCTGAGCACAGTGAAACGGATCCTGGAGAATCAGTTCCTATTCCCTAGGCTGGCACAATTGTGGAGCATGGCACCCTGGGGCTCTCTTCTCAAAGCAAAGTCTTTTACTTTTGGAATTTTTACCCAGTAAAGGGTGGAGCCTTGCTAGTTCCTCACATTCCCTTGAGGCATTTTTCCTACTGTCCTGTTCCAAAATATTTGGCTTATTTTTAATGCTAAGCTTTTCAGCAACCAAGTTTTCCTCTGCTCCAACTTTGAGGGGCCCAGCTTTACTGCAGCTTCCTTTCTGGCCAAAGTCAAAGCTTTAAAAATCATTCTGCTGGGCTGTGTGCTCTTGATTTGCAATGTAGAGGTGGTTAAAAGCCCCAACAAGACCCAAGCCACAGCATAAATATTTGGCTGCTTTGAAATTTCCTCTGCCAGATTAGTTGGCCATCCTTAATCTCAGTCTCCCACAAAGTCTCTGGACATGAGCAAAATGCAGACAAATTTTCTGCCAGAGCATACCACACATGGCCTGGAGTCCAATTGCCAATGGAGTTCATCCCAACTGAAACCTCTTGAGCCTGGTCTTTTCCAGCTGCATTACTGTCAACATTCTGGTCTCAGCTCTGACCAGAATCTCTCATCAAGGTTGGCTTACAGACTTACCTCCTAAAAGCCTCACCTATGAACACATGAGGCTTGGGGGGGATCTAGATATAAGCCATAACAAAGGAATACTCGAACGAAAGTGCTGCAAGTATTGGAGATATAGTCTCACAGAACAAGGTTGAAACTGGCACTTCCAGTGTTAGTCCCATTGCTTAGCCAAGGCATCAGGGGCCATACATCTCTCTACCCCTGCACGTTAATTATTTCTGCCCCCATTACAGCAGAAAGGCTACAATAGGTGTCTCATGTCCTCACGCGGCCAGTATCCCAAGCAGAAAGCAGTGGAATGGGAGCAAAAAGAGCTTTCTTCCTTGTGGAAAATCTAGCCTACAGTCCTCAGTAGGTTTCCTCTCAGCTGAAACTGGGCCACAGGTTTAACCATCACTGCAAGATGGGTTAGGAAAGAGGATCTGGCATTTGCAACCTGTAACAGAATGGCAAAAACACAGCTGGGTCTGACTGTGGGGTGGATAATGAGTAGTGCTCACCACAGTCTGAAACTGAAGGGTTTTATGAGTGCCTCACTCAGGCCACAGAAAAGGGAGGTAGCAGTATTCATCTGAAATGAATAAGCCATAGACTTCAACTCCTCGTCATTAGATTTTTGGAGTAGGTTTTAACCCAGGTAAGTATCTTCCTATTGACAAAGTTTTTGTTTGTTGTTTGTGACAGGGTTTCACTATGTTGCCCAGGCTGGCCCTAAACTCCTAGGCTCGAGAGGTACTCAAGCTTCAGCCTCCCGAGAAGCTAGAACTACAGGTATTGCCTCACTGTGTCCAGCCAAAGAAAGGATTTTTTCTTTTTTCTTTTTCTTTTTTTTTTGCAGTACCAGGGAATGAACTAGGGCCTTTTCACTGTGCTACACCCCTAGTCTTTTTTATTTATTTTTTGAGCAAGTTCTTGCTAAATCACTAATTTGCCCAGGCTGGCCTCCATCTTGGATCCTCATTCCTCAGCTTCCCAGTGCTGGAATTATAGGCATGTGCTACCACTCTCAGCTGAGAGGTTGTTTTTGAAGAGGGGGACCTTCCTAGTCTTCTCATTTATTCTAGACTGCCACCTTCCCTTCCCATAAACCAAAGGTGAGGCCTCATGGTTCAGTACACACTTTGTCTGAAAGGCTGGCTAGGCCAGTCACTGTGAAAGCCATCCAAAAGTGAGCAGTTGGCCCCACTGGTATACACCCAGAGTCCCAGCACCAGGAGGCAAAGGCAGGAGGATCACCTGAGTCCAGCTCAAGGTCAGCAAGCACAGGCGTCTCCCCCTTTCTTGCTCCTGAAGCAGCCTCACACACTCTGATAGTCTGTTTTGCATCAGGATGCTCTCCTACAACCCACTGCCCCATGGAGGCCCTGGCATTTTGGGCCTTCGTTAACCCTCTGGACTACTAACTCTTGCAGCCTTCTGCCTGGTCTCCCTTTCTAGAAAGCACCTGGTCCCCTGAAAGGCTGCAGCCAGGTAGACAGAGAACTACAAAAGTAGCAGAAGAAAGCTCTCTATAAACATTCACAGAAAGCCTTACTTCCACTCTCTAAATCCATTAACAAAGAGAGGGGATATTTTAAAATTCCAAGGCACTTGGTCACTAATCTGATTCTGGTCTATGTGTAAATATTCAATAAATACTTGTTAAATTAAATCGACTCAAGGTCTTATTTATTCAACCTACTTAAAGTTTATATAAGCTCTTGGAGACTTGTGTCAAACAGTTAAATTGGAAAATATATGAAAATAGTATTTTCAGTAGACCAGCTTTCCTCTTAATGTGCTTTATCAGCTTAATGTAAACCAAGGGGAAGAGGGAGGGGCACCAGGACAGCGGAGGTGAAGGGAAAGGCGAAGAGGAAGGGGGAGGTGAGAAAGAAAAATTCTGTTTCTTGTCGTTTTCTTCGTTTGCCTTCATTCCTATAACTACTTATTAGCCATCTACTGCCCTCTAGTGGTCACTGTGTAAAGCTCTCCTCTGAAGTCCACTGAGCTATATACTCCCAGTCCTTTAAGCAGCCTCGTCTAGGCTCAAATTTTCCATCCTCCTGTCTCAGCCTCCCAAAGCATTGACATTACAGGTGTCTAGCACCAACGCTTTCTCTGAAAGTCTGTTTTTATCTTTAAAAACCATGTTTATACCTGGAAGGGGCCAAACTTCTAGTTTTGCAGATAACTCCAAAGAAATAAAGTATCAAATTGAGCCAGGCAGCCTTCTGGACTCATAGTCAACCCACCTGTAACTCGACTCACACATTCTTCATTATAAGCATTTCTCAGAAATTTCAACAATCAATTAAAATTATAGCACACTAACCTAAGTGCTATATATTTTTTCCCATAGGTTCTTTTTTTTTTTTTGGTACTGGGGATTGAACTCGGGACCTTGCACCCAGGCAGCGGAACCACTGAGCTAAATCCCTGGCCCTTTTTTTTCTAATGCTGTTCCAAGTAAAAATAAAATAGCTGGCCAAGCTTAAGGATTTGAAATATGGGTACATTTTAAACTTTGTACAAGTTTAGACAATGTTATCACTGAAAAAAAAGAACAGATCCCAAGTGGATTTGGTTATTTATTAGAACCGATTTATCATTGTCTCCAAGTAGGCTAATATCCTCTCAAGGGAATCTCTCTTCACTGACGGGAAGGGGGGTTTGTCATTTTAACATGGAACACATATTTTCATCATTTCATCATTTTGTTGGTGGGAATAAACTGAAAGTTATCCAGCATGGATGTATCACTTACAGGAACATTACTGAGTAACAGATTTATTCAAATATTTAATTGGAAGGAAATACATCTGGAATAAGTTTTATTGGAATTCATTTAAAAAGTGAATCCATTAAGACTAATATCATAAACAGTTGACTTTATCTGGAACCAGAAATACTAATCAATCGGAACCGTGATATTCTGACCTGTTTTTTCCTTGCATAAAGCTAGCTGAATTTTCCAATTTATATGGCAATTACACTTTCTTACTTTAGGTAGAGCCTTATTTTCAGTGAATAGTTTAGAGAGATCACTCTAATTAGGTAATTTCTTCTCCCTCCTGATCAAAAAACAAAAAGAAAGTGCTGGGGAACATTTCCCTGTCTTTGAAATCTAATTCACTGAGATCAGCAAGTCAGCAGAAATGCAATGCATGTTGCTCCTCATTACTCAATAAATTTGGTCCTTAGATATCAACATAGATTCCATTGATCAGGTAATCAAGTCGTGAGTACCGCTTCCTGCGGAGGGATTCTGAGAATATCCTACCCAAGAGGGCTAGGCCGATCACCAGGAACAGAACACCAAAGAGCAGGGTCCCCAGGAGAAGCCACCTTTGAAATGGAAGCCCATCCTGGTTTCCTGAAACACTGCTCGGTGATGAACTGTCTACAGGGGCCTTCCCCTTTTCCTGGGAAACAGTTTTATTTGTAGCGGAAAATTCCACATTTGACAAAGGAAGTGTGGTAGGGTTATGCACATTCCCTGCATGTGAAGTGAGCCTGGAGGCTTCTCTAAAGGGCACTGATTCTGAGGTACCTTTCGAGTCTGTAGGTGTCTGAAAGACGGTACTCAGCACAGCTTGGGGTGTAACCACAGCTCGTGTGGAAACGGGGGTTGGAGGAGGCTGAGAGGGGACAGTGGTTATGGGTGCAATTGAGGTGGCCACCTGTGGTTGAGAAGTCACTGGAGGTATCGCTGAGCCACTGGTGGACAAAAGAGATACAGGCTTCAGAGTCACAGAGCTGTTATGTTGAAAACCAAGGGCCACTGCAGAGGGGAAAGTGGTCTTGTTTTCAGGCAACAAATGAGCTACTTCCGGCTCTGAGGAAGACTGTAAACTCTGAGAGTGGCCTTTGTCTTCATTAGTGGAGACCTGGGTACTTGCTTTACTGATCTGGACTAGTTTCTGCAGGTGATCTGAAGATGCAGACCTCTGAGAAGATCCATTTCTCCATAAGAGATCAGGAGGAAGAGGGGACAAGATGGCTTGTGGGGACTGGCCGTAAGACAGAGGAGGACCTTCTTGTGATAACTCTTGGTGTAGCAGATCAGTCAAAGATGGAACATCTGAAAAACACAAAGAGAATAACAGGAGACTTAAATCATCCATGCTAAGGTAGGTTAAAAATACAAATATATCAGCTTTTCCAGTATGTCTCCAAAACTGTTGATATGTGATTGATTGATGATTGATTGATTTTGCCGGTGCTGGGGATTGAACGGAGAACCCTGTGCCTGGTAGGCAAGTGCTCTATCACTGAGCTATACATCCCTCATCTCTGTTACTTGAAATTTCAGCAAAACATGCAAAATTGAAAAAAATTAAGTTACTAAATCAGAATTGGACACCATTATTTTCTTTCCTGTGGTTTATTTGTAGCCTGATGGGACAGAAATGAATGGAGGAAGAGCAAGCAAATTATGGAAGAGGCGGGATCGGGGCTGCTTGGTTGATGGGGTGGGTGGGTATTTATTTACTGGCAGGGTCTCAGGGTGTAATCTGGAGAAGCTAAGAGGAGCTCAGCATGGTCCACAAGAGGTTTGGGAAGAAGGGAGGTGTATGGATTGGGGTCAGGCAGAGCTGGGCCAGGGTGACATGGGCAGGACAAGACAGCAGGGAGAAGGCTGGCATGAGGCAGGAGTTGCTGCAGGACATGCCACCCTGGACTGAGAGGATAGTAATTATTAGGACAAACTGTACTAATTATTAGGACAAACTGTACCACTGGGTGAGGGGCAGGCAGGAAAAGGTACGCAGGAGCCTCAGGAAAATGAGTTGACGGAGTCAGAGAGAGAGAGAGGGAGAGAGAATCCTGTGGCATGCCTTTTTGTTCTGTTTTTGCTTGTTTGCTTACTTTTCCAGTACTGGGGATTGAACCCAGAGCCTTTGCAACTGAGCTACAACTTCAGCCTTGTTTATTTTTTTAAGACAGGGTCAACCTAAGTCACTAAGTTGCCCAGGCTGGGCTCCAACTTGTGCTCCTCCTGCCTCAGCCGCTCAGAGCACTGGGACTACATGAGCCATCTCTGGCTGCTGTGCGCCTTTGACAGAGACCAAAGATTTGATGAGGAGGAAGAAGGAGGCGCAGCAAGGTGTGGTCACCTCTGTGGGTACCCGGCCAAGGCAACAGCACAGGGCTGATGACATTTTCCAACCGTACTCAGAAGAGGGACAATTTCATTTTAACTCTCAAAGCTTAAGATTTTAGAGCCAATCAATGTCTTAGGTTGTAAGGATGACGAGGCTGATATCAGAAATCACGACAGCCACACGGCGGGTGTATGGGGCAGAAAACCACAGTCTTGATTCCCTAGGAGGATGAACCAGCCCTAGATCCTGCTTAGGATTTTGATCTTAACCACACACACCAGCCAGCACAGCTCAAACTGGAAAAGCTTGTTTGGCACTCAAGAGCACAGTGATCTTTGAATTGTTCTGTACTACTCTGCTATGTGGCTGACCAATTCACTTAGACCGGAACTGCAGGAAACACCAGGAGAGAAGCTGAAGGGCGTCTTAGCACTCACTGGGTCACTCTCTCCTTCCTCAAGTCCCTTCTCTGCCTGTTTCCAAACTAGAGTTATTGACTCTCCCAACAAATCCAGAGGAAGTTTCAGAGGTGTGACATCTTGTGTCTTTTCTCGGAGCCTCATATACCGCTAGGCGGTCCTTAAGCTCTAACCCATCCAGGACCTGGGTCCAGTGCTCAGATCTGGCTTGCAAACTAAAAAATGGTGTTTACATATAGAATGATTGAAAAAAAATCTGTGACACATGAAACATTATATGATGTTAAAATTTCAGTATCCATATTGTTTTATCAGCATGTAACCATGCCCAGTTTTTTTTTTTTAAAGGCAAACCCAGGCCAGATACTTCAGAGCTCTGGGATCTGAGTGGATTATTTATTTATTTATTTATTTAGAGACAAGGACTTGCTATATAGCCCAGGCTGGCCTCAACCTCACACAGATCCTCCTGCCTCAGCCTCTCAAGTACTGGGATTATAGGTGCACACCATCATACCCAGCCCATTTGTTTATATACTGTCTTTGCATGCTTTTGTACCACAAGGACAAAGGTGAGTAGGTACAACAGACTGTGCATGGCTCATAGAACATAAAATACTGGCCTGAAAAGCCATTAAAATACTATTTGACCATTGACAAACCTGGCAGACAACTGCTTTAGGATATAGCACTCTAAAGAGAATTTGGACGCCAGAAGTTCCTTTCTCCCCAATAATGCAGAACCAGAAAGTTTTTACTACAGGTGATGTTGAGCTCACAGGATTACCATGAGATAAATAAATCTTAATATTAATAATAATTTATCTGAAGATAAATCTTCAGAGAGGATCAGATTTTTTTATTAAGTTCTTTTATTGGTACATTTTAGGTATACAATACGTTTACATTCATCATTGGGTGCTTGTACCTGTACATGATGCATCTTGGTTCTTATTTTTCCCCATTACCCATGCGCCCTTCACTCCTTCCACCCTTCCCTATTTACAAAGACTTTGTTTCCATTTTTTTCTTTTCTCATAATTTTTCCTTTCCCTTCTTCCCTTTCCCCCTTCCTCCCACTTCCCCTACCCTTTTGCACTTTTCTTCCTATCTCAAATTATCAATTATTCATTTTAATCATTTTAACCCTTATTTACAATTTCAGTTTCTCAGGATCAGATATTTTAAAAATGAAAACTGGTGTGTGTGGGTTTCTGGCTCAGTGGTAGAACACTTGCCTAGCATGCACAAGCCCTTGGTTTTGATCCCCAGCATCAGAAAAAAAGACTCGACGTATTTCACTTTAAAGCTAAAAAAGAGGAGACTATTTAAGTAAATGCCCTGTGATAAGTGTGTGATATCAGAAATTAAATAAGGCCATTGACAAGAATGGCCAAAACAGCTGCTTTCTTCCTCAGGCCTGCAAGCTCAGTAATAAAGCAAAGCCCAGGAAACCCATGGCCCTGTCAGATGAGATGGATCTACTGACGAAGCTCCTAGAACAACGCAGAGATTCCTCGCCGCCCACTGCTGTGTGCTCAGGGCGCAGGACCTCCCCGAAGTGACAGACTCGAGCTGCAGACGGAGCTGGGAGACATCCTGATCCCCTCAACTCTTCTTTTCAGTTTCATTTTTCAAGGGACTTCACTGAGTTAAAAAAAAAAAAAAAAAAAAAGAGTGGCTATTTCTTGGCAACCAACCGCGCAAACGTGCCCCAGGTATTCTATTTCTGTTGTTTTTTTGTTTTTGTTTTTGGTACCAGGGATCGAATGCAGGTCCTTGCGCTTGTGCGGCAGGCGGAGGAAACCACCGAGCTAAATCTCCCGCCCAAGGTATTCTCTTGCTGAATGCTCCTGTTCTTCCAGTCCTCAGTAGAAAGGACACACCTGAAAGCTACACATTCAATACCGCCAAGCTGCAATGGCTTTATGGAGGGAGCGGGGGTCACTGGCACCTTGAAACTTTCAGTCTGAAAATACTAGTCAATGGTGATACGGAGGAAGGGCTCCTCCAGAAACAAACCACGAAACAGATTATCTGCATTTAATTTCACTACAGAAAGGAAGCAGGTAATTTACCTTTTAAAGGAGTAATCTCAACCCACCAATTTGGGCAGATAATTCATACACATCTTGTCAACAATTCTTTGAGTATTACATCCAAGACTGATGCTACTTTGCCCCTAAATGTTTCATCAACTGCTCTGGGCTGATGATGCCCCCTGCTGGCTGCCACAAGAACGGGTTGATTCCAATTTCACTTCATTACATTCAAACTAGCCCTTCATTGGTTTACATAATCCCCACACTCTGGGAGGCTGAGGCAGGAGGGAGGCAAGCTTGAGCCCACCCTGGACAATTTAAAAATTTAGCAAGATCCTGTCTCAAAATAAATACAAAATATTAAAAAGGGCTGGTGATGTAGCTCAGTGCAAAGGCCCTGGGTTCAATCCTCAGTACACATGTGTGGGCATGCACATGGGCGCGCACACCAAGTTTATGTACATGCCGAGTTTCCTTTCTTGAATTTCCATTGGTGGGAACTTTGAGCACATACTTTCTGTATTATAGATGCACTATAAAAGCAATGACCAACTCAACTACAATTTCTATCATCATATTCCAGATTTTTACACAAAGAATGTGTGTTTCATGCTCTTTTTTAAGGGCATGTCTGATACATCAGGTTTCCTAGACCCATGAGCAAAACTTAGACACAGCCTCACTTGGGAGACAAAGCAGGGCCAGTGCCCGGGGCTGCTGGGCAGCACCATTCTCCAAAGTGCTCTCACTTAAGGCAGACAAGAAAGAACCCTTGATTCCAATCCACCATTCAACCCTCCACCTGCTCCTCCCCAACCAGCAGAGCATGTGCTTAGCACACTTAAAGTGCTAGGTTCAGTCTCCAGCATGCACACACCCACACATGCGTGCACACACACACTCTCACATTCATACTCCCCAACTCAGCTGAGCGTGGTGTTGCACATCTGTAATCCCAGTGCTCTGGGAGGCTGAGGCAGGAGAATCACAAGTTTAGGTCCAACCTGGGAGACTTGGTGACTTAGTTGTTGAACAAAAGAAAAGGCGGCAGAAAGGAAGGAGGAGGAGAAGGAGAAGGAAGGAGGGAAGGGTGAGCTGGAGGGTGTAGCTCCATGCAAAGACTCTGGGTTCAAGCCCCAGTACTGCCAAAAAATAAATAAGGGGACAGGGAGAAAGAAAAGAAAAGAAAATCTCCAACTCACCTAGACAGGAAGTAAAAAACTAAGACAAGACCTCACCGCTTCCTTTTTCCTGGTTCCCTACAGACACACCATCAGCGAGTCTTGTCAATGCTACCCCTGGAACAGCCCCAGGCCCACTCTTCTGTTCCTCCTCTACCATCTCCTGGGCCCCCGGGGGCCACTGCCTTTCACAGGCCCTACACTTCCCCACCCCTCCACGCTTTCCATTCCCCCTTGTGTGGCAGCCACGTGGTCTATTCCCAAGAGGGCAGCACACTGCACTTATAACGTTCCGGCTTCCCAACACACACATAGACTAAAACCCCCCTTCTCTGGCTTATAAAGCTTTATGTGATGTGGGATCCCTGCCTGCTTACATACTGTTCTCTGCTTAGCTCACTATGTGTCCACCAGCTGGGACTCGATGTTGTCCTTTGAACATCCCAAACCTCTTTGGCCTGAGGGTCACGAGCCTAGAAGGTCTACCCCTATCTGCCCCATCTGGCTCCTGACTGTTCAGGTCGCATCTGATTCCTTTGATCACCTTGATACAAGATGACTTAGTTACTTTTCTCTCATTGCTGAGACAAAATACCCAACATCCACAAGTTAAGGGAGGAAAGGTTTATTCAGCTCACTGTTTGTAGAGGTTTCAGTCCATAATCAGCTGGCTCCAAGGCAGGGCAGCTTGGCAGAGGGGCATCACAGAGGAGAAGCAGTTCATGGCAAGCAGAAGACAGCAAAAGCAAGCAAGCAAGCAAAGGAGGACGGGAGCTCTTTCTATTCCTCTTATCTTGTGCAGGCTACTCAGGGCGAGTGGCACTCACACCCTTATTCCTAGTCCCTTGAGCCTGGCACTGCACCATGAGTCAATTCCAGCATCACACACTCTAGATCCAGCTACTTCTGAAGAAGCCCCACTCATGACCACATGAGGTTGGCGGGGGGGCATCTAGATGCAAGCAGTAACACAAGACTACCATCTACCATTACTCAGCGATTAGCATTACAGCATCTTGCCCAAATTGCCTGCATAGCACTGTGTCTATCTTTCTCTTGATTACTTTTTATGTTTATTATCTCTCCTAAAATATAAATTCTAGAAATGAGAATTCGTTCATGTCTAATGCTGTACTGTTAGGACACAAAAAATGCTTGACACAGAGAAAATACTAAATAATATTTGTTATTCACTGAATAAGTGAGCAAACAGAATGACAATAATAACCAAGAGTATAATGACAAAAACTTTCCACAACTGAAAAGAAAATTTGATTTTTTGTCCTTTTTTTGCTGTATTGAGGATTGAACCTAGAACCTGGTACTTGCTACCCTGGCATGTGCTCTGCCTTGTCAGTGAGCTACAGCTTCAGGGCCTTTAATTTTTTATTTTGAAAGCGATTCCTGCTAAGCTGCCCAGGCTGGCCCTGATCCTGTGATCCTTCTGCTCAGCCGCCCAAGTAGCTGGGATTACATGTGTGTCTCCCACAATGCCTGGCTAAAAAGGAAATTTGATACTGAAAGCTTTTCAACTTGAAAAGTTAATAGGGCAAACTTGCAGCGAGACACAGCCAAATAATGATATTAATTCATTTAGCAGTTTCTTTTTTTAACATCTTTTTTGTTTATTTTTTATTAGTATGTTTGTAATATAGAATAATCATATTCACTTGGGAGAACTGGTACATGTATATGTTGCATCTGAATTAGTTTTACTCTCCCTTCCCCTTCCCCACCCATCTAACTGTTTATTTTCTGAATTTTGATTAAATCTATATGTAAGTTGCATGAGGATGGAGTCTGCATTTCCCATGCTTTGCATGGAACCTGGCACATGGTAGCTGTTCAATAAATGATTCCTGAATCAGTATCCCTCCAAGTAGACAATAAAATCCAGTAAATTTGACTGATATCATTATAAAATAATAGGGACTTAACAACAAAAGCATCAGAACTTTGTATAGTCACATAGGTTTTAATCTTACCAAGTCTTCTATAGCAGGGATGGCAAACCTCTGAGAGCTTTCAGTGATACCAAAGAGGTGGCTGTGGCACGCGTGCCATAGGTTCACCACCACCGCTCCAGAGATGTGTGAACTTACTCCAGTATTTCAACACCATTATTGATACTAGGGACTTCAAAAATGTCTCATAAGAGCCGAGGATTTAGCTCAGTGGTTCTGGTACCTGCCTCACAAGCGCAAGGTCCCAAGTTCGATCCCCGGTACCAAAAACAAAAAAAAGTCTCATAAAATATCTGTGCATCTTTTCTAATATGAAGGTAAAAACAAATATTCCAAGGTCTTTCACTGGAAAACAAACTTTGGCTTAATCAACTGAATTTCAGGAAGAGGAGGATAAGAAAGGATAATAGGATGGATATGATCAAAGTATATTTGAAAATGCCACAACGAAACATAATAATCTGTATAATTAATATGGACTAATAAACAGAATAAACTTCCTAAAAATAAAGCGGGAAATTTTAAGAAATTGAGTTTCAAGTCATGAAACACTGGTGAACCTTTTCATCGTTTGTTTTTTTTTTTTGACTCTTTTCTAGAAAATCTTTCACAGAAGCCATCTCCTTAAATAATTCCAATCACAAAAGAAAAGAATGTGTTTTTTTTCTACCTGGGATTATCCTGTAACTCCTCAGGCCCTTTGCTGGTTTCAGTGGACAGGCTTCCACACTGGGACAGAAAAACAGGTAGCAGTTCGGTTGTCCAGCTGTTTTTCGAGTGTCGAAAATCATCAAGTTACATGCTTTGTCCCCTGCAATGAAAGGTGTTATTAGCATGATTTTGAAATAAGATTTTCTTAAGAGTAGCACAAGCAGGAAGAACTTTGTTTACTCTGGAGTCCAACACAAACACCGTTGTTCATTTTGTTCACTTGCTTGCTGGATGCTGAATCATTTCCTTTTCCTTAGTCCAGTCGTGTAAGGCAATTTTAAAAGACACTCAATGTACAAATCTGAGGGTAAATCTTTGGCAGAGCTGATTTTGAATAGTCTATTTAATTTTCTAAAAGTAAGACTGGAAATACCCCGGTAATATACTGACTTGCAGTCTTTACACGACTTAACATCAGCTGGACCCTGATAATTGGCTGTAATTCACACCCTGAAGACATCTCAGACACCTATAAAACTGTCAGCTTTCTTGGGTGGAGTAAATTAATCATCACAGAAATATCATGCCTCCTTTCACAAAGGATCTGAGTAGTGTATGGAATACAAAGTCTATCTTTATCATTTACTTATGTATTACATTTTATTAGTTAATTTTTATTTATTTACTAACTTTGCTTATTTACATACTTATTGTAGTACTGGGGACTGAATTTGGGCCTTCACAGTGAGCTACATCCCCAGCTCAATTTTTTGATTGATTGATTGATTGATTGAGACATGGCCTCCTTATGTAGTTCAGGCAAGCCTTGAACTGACTACATAACGTAGGTTGGCCTTAACTTGTAGCAATCTTCCTGCCTCAGCCTCCCAGAGTACTAGGATTTACAGGTGTGTGCCACCACTCCTGGCTTCGTTATTCATTTTTGTGGCCGAATGGGTCTTGCTATTTTACCCTGGATAGGCTTGAACTCTTGGAGTCAAGCAATCCTGCTACAGTCTCCAGAGTAGCTAGGATTACAGGGGTGTATCACCACACCTAGCTTCTATCTTTGTATTTATTTTTTATTTTATTATTATTATTGTTTTGTAGTACTGGGGATAGAACACAAGGGTGCTTTATCAATGAACTATATCCCCAGGCTTCCCTAAAGCCCCAGCTTTATGTCCATCTGATACATATTATTTATATTTATATGTAATATATATTATATATATTTAAATATATTATATATATATTTTGAGACAGGATCTTGCTAAATTGACCAAGTTGGCTTTGAACATGCAAACCTCCTGCCTCGGCCTCCTGAGTACACAGGATTACCAGTGTGGTCACTGTGTCTGCTTTTTATTTTTATCAGAACCATTCTTTTTTTTTTTTCCAGAACCATTCTTTTGCTGTTTCTTCACATTCCCCTTTTTGTCATTTTTGTTTTTTTATTTTCCTTCCTCCCTCACTTTTTATGTTAACTTCCATTCCTGGCTTCTTTTTTTCTTCCTCTCATGCCCAGTAGCAGTGATTCTCTCTATTCACCATGGACTAGAGTTGGTTTAGTCCTCCATGTGCCAGTCTCACATCTTGGTCTGTGACCTTGCGGGATCAGCACACCTCTGGTAGGGCTGGAGGTTAAGGGGCATATGGACTAACTATTAAAAATGTACGATTTGTCCCGCTACAATGGTGCACACCTGTGACCTCAGCTACTTGGGAGGCTGGGGCAGGAGGATCACAAATTTGAGGACACCCTGGGTAAGCTAATGAGACTCTGTCTCAAAATCAAACAACAGAAAGAACCAAGGCTTTAGCTTAGTGGCAGAGCACTTGCCAAGCATGTGCAAGGCCTCGGTTCAACCCCTAGTACCATGGGGTTGGTACAGGGAGGCTTTGCCAGCCATCAGCACCGCTCTCCTGGTGAGGCAGTGCCAAGGACCAGTCCTGACCGCCCAGGTGGAAGAGAAGACTCAGACCCTGCAGGGTCTAATCACATCGCCTCTCTGCTACTCAGGCAGTAAGAGAGGTACTCCTTCATTTCCTTTCTCAGCAGTGTGACACCTGGAATATCAGTCTTTTTGCCATCTAGATAAACAGGAGAGTCCATAAGCCCCCAAATCACATGCAAAATTTTGTGCTTTTTGTGTTTAGGTTCATTTTTCTAGAATCTGTGGCTATCAACCAATTCTCAAAGTACCTTCTGAATCTAAAACAGTTAAAAATAATTGCTGAATAAATGAGGAAAAAATTGAGTACCATTAACTGTGGCCCACAGAGTAGTAATAATACTTTTTCTTGGAAAATAAAACAGCAAATCCTCATTTCTTGGAATTGAAAAGAAATGCCAGGTTTCCCATGTTGCCAGGAAATACCTACAATTATACCATTTAGCTTGCAAGTGATGTTTCTATTTTTAAAAAACTTTTTCTTGGTATTTGGGTTTGAACCCAGGACCTTCACATTGAGCCACATCTCCAGGCTTTTTTTCTTTTTTTAATGTATTTTTAAGACAGGATCTCCCTAAGTCACTAAGTTGCCCAGACTGGGCTCAAACTTGGAATCCTCCTGTTTCAGCCTCCCAGAGTACTGGAATTACAGGTGTGTACTACCAAACCTGTATCAAAATTTAAAGAAAAAATATCAAAATTTAAAGAAGTATAAATTTAAATTTCTGTGGGGTTTTTTGGGGGGCAGTGCTGGGAATTGAATCTGGGGCCTTCACATGAGCTACATCCCTACCCTCTTTTTATTTCATTTGGTTTAAAAAAAAAATTTTTTTTTTTAATTTTGAGACAGGATCTTACTAAGTCACTAAATTGCCCATGCTGGGCTTGATCCTGTGATCGTCCTGTCTCAGCCTGCCTGGATTACAGGCATTTGCCACCCTGCTCAGCAATCTCTCTGATTTCTACAAATTACTTCTACAAACAGTATCCAAAGCACAGCGTTCAATTGGAGACCACTGAACAGATTCTTCCTAGGCATCTGTTCCACTCTAGCTCTCCAAGTCTCCCCCCCTAGCCAGATATCTTATGATTCGATCCAATTCAGACTCTAACCACCTCAAGTTAGCAGCAGACCCCATGCTGAGCGTTTCTGGGGTCAGCCCAAAGCCTGCTGTCACTTCAGACAAGGGCGCCCAATGCAGAAGCCTCTGTCCTTGTGGAATTAGGGGGTGCCACCCTCCTGGCCCATGGATGGATGTGTTTATTAACCTTGAAGGTCCCCAAATTCCACCTCTTAGGGGACTGGATGGATACTTCATCACCTAGGTGTGACTGACTCAGTTATTGCCACTGTGATTGAACTCAATCTGCAACCCCTCCTTGGAGGTCTGGAAGTTAGGCTGAAAGTCCCAGACTTCTGAGTGAGCACCCACCCAGAACTCTTAGTCCTAGAAGCTGCAATACCCTGGTGGCCAGTTGCTTGCTTCTTGACTTACCCTAAGTCACCAGGTGTAGGGCGGGAGATGAAGTGGGGGTCTTGTGGTTCTACATAAAAATCAAATGCTGGCAGGGGAGACTTTGAGGAACCAGAAACAACAGCAATTCAAGCATGGATCAAAGTAGTGAAGGATGTACAAAAAAGATGAGCAGTGTGAATATTGACAAACATAAAGGATTTTTCACAGATAGAAAAGAAAATGATAGAAACCAGTGGAAAGAACATACTGGAAATTCAGTTGGAAAAGAGTACCTCTTTATTAAAAGTAATGCAAACAAAGGAAACCTCAATTAAAAAAGAATGTGCTGTTCTTCATGATATGATAAAAGGGCTACAACAGACCATTGAATATCAACACAATTTGAGAGGTGAAAATGAACAACTAAAAAGAAATGCTAATATGACAAGGGAAAAGCTGAACTCTCACAAACAGGACTATGAGAATAATATTGCCAAACTTGTACATGAAATGAAAATCAAAAAGGAAGAATATAAGATAGAAATAAGCAAACTTTATCAAGACACGCAGAAAAAAATTGAATTAAATGAAGAAAAGCATAAAGATCCAATAAAGAAAAAGGAGATGGAAATCTGAGTTAAATGCAAAGTTAATAACTCAAGAAAAAGAAAAGCAAAATGAAACAATCAAACTACAGCTGGAGTTTGATGTGCTGGAGTTTGATGTGCTGGAGTTTGATGCCAAACTAGCAAGAGTTCAGACTAAGTCAAAACCATATCCAGATGCTACTATTTCCCCACGGAGTATCTACAGAAGGAAGCTTCAACATCTTCAAGAAGAAAAAAACAGAGATTGAAGTTCTTTGTAATACCATTCACAATTTGGAGCAGCGGCTTTCTGTTGGCAAAGATTCTCACTTTAAATGTAGACGATTTTGAGTATAACAGTAAATTCATTAATTACTATTTACTTTTTTAAAAAGCAATTGAAAAATTCGCTTCCATTTTCAACATAAGTATACTGCCTAAATAGCCTAAATAATAAATGACACAGCTTTAAAAAAAAAATCAAATGCTGATGTTCTCATCAGGTGAGTTAAGCTTACTTCTCTCGACTCCTGTGCTCTGTTTACATATTCTCTGAAATATCCCAGTGTATTCCAGTGTTCCATGGTGATGGCAGCTAAGCACTTAGCCAGAATTTTACTTTTATATATTCTAAGGGGACACAACATCAGGGGTCTTCAAACTTTTGTTTCCAAGGCTACCTGAAGGATGTTTCCACAACTTTAACACAGTTTAGGGGAGGGCAGGGCACACTCGGGGACAGCACCCCAGTGACTTGGTCACCCACATTTCTACCCCATTGAGAATCACTGGTATAAACTGGTTGGTCATGTCCCCCACCTACTGATGTCACGAAACACATGTGAGGAAGAGCTACCATGTTATTTACCTGCTATGTTTTGTGTGGAACAGCAAGAATTAATGCAGTCTTCTTGAGTTGCTTCGTGGATGGGCTCATTGCCTCTGATGCCCCTGGAGAGAGAAGACTGGATATCAATGACAACATCTGCTAGACTCTCCTTGAGGCAGGTCTGACTGGCAGACAGACTTAGTGTCAGGAAGCAGATTATCAGCAAAGAGAAAGGCAAGCGACATTCTTCCCTGGAGAACATTTTAGGCTCAGTTTAGGCTCAGGCTTCGCAGGTTAAGGATGATCCTCCCTCTGACTTCAGTTTGCTTCAGGAAGATTGCCCAGAGAGTGGGATTTCTCTCTAGAATAAAAGCAGAAAATCATCATTTGTTTTTTTCAACAAACCAGGGGTGGCACAGGCCTATAACTCCAGCACTCTGAGAGACTAAGGCAAGAGAATCACAAATTTGAGCCCAGCCTGGGCAACTTAGCAAGATTCTGTCTTGAAATAATAAAGGGCTAGGGATGTAGATCAGTGCCAGGGCCCTAGGTTCAACCCCCAGAATTGAAAAACAAAACCAAAAACAGGGAAGAAATATTTCATTTCCTTCAAGTCGATGAAAACGACCCATGTACAACTTAGAAGACAGAAACAAATTTTAAATATATCTTTAGTAGATTTGAGACAAACTTTCATTTAAAATTTGACAAAAGCTGGGCGTGGTGGTGCGCATCTGTAATCCCTGTGCTTGGGAGGCTGAGGCAGGAGGATCACTTCTAGTTCAAGGCCAGCCTGAACTACAGAGTGAGACCTTGTCTCAAAAGAACAAAATAAATCAATAATTTTTTTTAAAAACCTGACAAAGAACTAAACAGCATAAATATATATTCTATGTCATCAGTGATTACACGCTGACAGTGCCTATGAAGAGTGTGGACAGCAGGCCTGCCCCTGAGTGCTAGAATCCTTCATTTTCTTGCCTTTCTTGAGTAGGAGGAGAGAGGACACAAAATTTCTCATCACCATTGACACAGTGATAATGGGTTTGAGCACACTTCTTTTCTCAGGAATAACAACCAGCGTTTTAAAACCATCTATTGGGTGGTAGCCATCCTGAGAAGCAATTTGCATACATTACCTCCTTTAATCCTTAGACCAACCCCGCAGAATAGCTATTTCTACTTCATTTTATAATGGAGAGAGAGGGAGGGGGAGAGGGAGAGAGGGAGAGAGAGAGAGAGAGAGAGAGAGAGAGAGAGAGAGCACGCGAGCCTTTATTATTGCTGCTTCTCTTTATAAATATCAAACCAGAGGCAGATAACTTTAGATAACTTTAATAACCTAATTCTAGGAATTAGCCAGTCACCAGAAGAAATATTCTAGCTCAAGTGAGGACAAGCTGGGGGAGCTGTCCTTTCTGACAGCCCTAAAAACACAAGTCACACCATACAATGCCAACTCCATTGATGAGGTGGTTCTTTTAGGAAAAATAAACATTAAACTGGCAAAGCAATACCAGAATATCCTCACCCTCTCAACTTCAAATTTCCAGAATACAAATTGTTGACTGAATGATAATTTAGAACAGAATTACTCTTTCTTTAACCTATCTTTGTCATGAATCTGTCTGGTCTTCTAAGGAAGCTTCACATCTATTCTGAAAGATGTGTTTCAAAATACATAAAATGACATGTATAGCCAGTTATATTGAAATATAATTAGCAAAATAGTTTAAAAACTGTGCCTATAAAACTCTGACAAAAGAAATCGAAGATCTTAATAAATATATGTTCCACATTCATGGATAGGAAGATTCAATACTGTTAATATGTCAGTTATTCCTAACCTGACCTATAGATTCAACATAGTCCTAATCAAAAGACCAACAAATTACTTTGTCAGTACCAACAAAATGATTTTAAAGTGCACATGGAAATGCAAAGAGACATAGAATAGTGAACACAATAATGAAGAACTGTAATGGTGGATACAAAGCACTGCACATCTTTCAAAATTCACAGAACTATAAAACACATGAGTCAACCCTCTGTGAACTATGAACTTTAGTTGGGAAAAGAACCCAATAATTACAAAACGAAAACCAGTTATGATAATAGGACACAAGCCTAACATCCCAACTGTTATGTCCAATTTCTGTATACAATAAAATATTAACATTATTTCTCATATGCCAGTCTCCATATAAGCTCTTTACATATGTCCTTCACTTCTAAGAACCCTAATGAAGTCATTTACTATTTCCATTTTCAGTTAAGATAAAAAACAGAAATATTTATGGGATATATGGGCATTTTTACTAAGTTAGTTCTAAATAATAACTGCCATGATTTGGAAGTAGTGTTGACTATAATATTTTGTGACATGTGCAATAGGTAACGTATGAAACCATCTGATTTCTACTCATTGAAATCATAGCTACTGCTAATACTCCTGGGGCCTTGCATTTTTTCTGGAAGGAAATTCTACCTTTCAGTGAGAGGTTAGTGAAATAATAAAATTTTCCCACCTAAATTCACAGGCTTCCTGAATTTTCTCCATGGATTCCCCAGATTAAGCGTATTGGCATAAACCACACGTGTTATCCTGCTACATTTTGTAAGGCTCTTTTCTAGCCCTAGGGAATCAAAGGAGAAAAACCAGGTGCGAGATGCTTGGAATGCATTCTGATAAAGTCTTTAAGTGTTTGCAAGGAAACCTCAACTATGCACGGAGACTGAGAAGCTGTGGTCTCCGAATGCAGCGTCTTTACAGAACATGGACTGCAGAAGTGCTAAAAACTTTATCTCATTAAAAACACGCAGCGATTATTATCTAATAAAGGTCTCTGCCTCTTCTTTTTTGCCTCCACTTTTTAAATTATACTTATTATTTGGCTGGGGGCCTTGCACCTGCTAGCCGGCGCTCTATCTCGGAGCTATTCGACTCCGGCATATTAGGTCTGCTAATCGATCCTTCTTTTGGTCTAAAAGGTCTGAAGTCGAGATGAATCCTGCCGCACAAGAATACAGGGAGGAGAGAGAGGAAGCACCCGCGCTTACTCCAGCCGGCTGGAGTCACTAAAACTTACTTGTCCGTAACTATTTCAAATATTGGAAATCATTTTACTTAACGCATAGTCTTAATTTATCACATATTAGACAGATAATTAATAGTTCCAGTAAGGTAAACGGAAGACAAACCATGCAGCCATGGGGAATTTCCCCCTTCCTGTTGAGAAAGGGACGTTGCCCGCTGACTATTCTGCCTTTGGGGCCCTCATTCACTCCAGCCTGGTCCTTGGGTGCTCCGGTTAGGGATGGAGGCTCATTCGCCCCAGGAAAGCAGGGGAGCTGCTGGCCGCGGGAGGCAAGGCTGCAGGGGGCTGGCAGGGAGGGGAGAGGGGCCTTTACCTGGCAGGAGAGGACCCTGTGCGTCCCTGTGCCCCGCCCGGGGAGCCAGGCGGCCGCATTCGTGCACCCGCAGGGTTTTGTGGTGAGCAAGTTCCTGCTTCCGTCCCAGCCACCGAAAGTTTGCCGCGGGGGGAAGGGCGCGTTCCGGCTCCGCAACCCGGAGCTGCTTCCCAGCCACGTCTAGCCCGCAGAAGGAGCGTCCCCGCCCCGCAATCGCACCTGGTCCTGGGTGGGCCCCGGGCGGGCGCTGCGGGCTGTGAGGGCGCGACCTGCGCTGCACTCCTGGCCTGCTAGGCCGGGCCGAGCCAAGGCACGGGGCAGAAAGTCAGCTCCCAGAGACAGGATCCTCTCCAACACAGAGAGCTCTTCAGGGAAGGCGACCAGGAGCTGGAGCAGCGGGGAGGAATTAAGCTGTGTTATACACAGCTACCCACTCCCCACGAATGCGATCGTTATTACTGCAAACATGTACTAAAGAGAGAATAGAAAGGTTTATTATTACCATTATTTGCCTGGGGACCACAACTAGGGCCTTGCACCTGCTGGCAAGCGCTCTCTGGCAAGCGTTCTCTGGCAAGCGTTCCTCTGGGCTCTGGGTTCCAGTCGCCTAATCACCTGCCCCAGAAGCAGCCTTTGAGAGCAGTTTCTTTTTTCAAAGCAATGTGTTTATTAGTACGTGTTTGCAGTACATAGTGATTATATTTGTCATGGGGAGTTGATCCATGTACATAGCACATCTTAATTCCTCTTACTTCTCCTTCCCCTCCTCTCCTCATCTCTAGATCCCTTTCCCGTTTGCAAAGGATCCGTCTCCCAGTTTCCTATTATCCAGCCTTTATTTGTTCTTTAAATTATTTACACTGTGGATTTCTCATGTAGGAGAAAGCATGTGGCCGTGTGTGATGGCGCATGCTTGTAATCCTAGCACTGGGGAGGCTGAGGCAAGAGGATTGCCAACAGTTCGAGGCCAGCTTGGGCTATACAGTAACTTCAAGGCCAGCCTGAATTACAGAGTGAGACCCTGTCTCAAAAAACCAAATAAGGGCCGGGGATTTAGCTCAGTGGTTTCACCGCCTGCCTTGCAAGCGCAAGGATCCGAGTTCGATCTCCGGTACCAAAAAAAAACAACAAAAAAACAACCAAATAAATAAATGAGTGAGAAACTATGTGATATTTATACTCTTGTGTCTGATTTATTTTGCTTAACATTATGACCTCAAAGTACATCCATTTTCCTATAATGGACTCAACTGCATCCTTCTTCATGGCTATCTAGTGTTCTACTGTGGAAATATACCACATTTTCTGTACCCATTCACTGGTTGATAGACAGTAGACTCCTTCCAAGGTTTAACTACTTTGAGTTGTGCTGTGTGAGCAGCTTCTGCATCCTATTTGGGGACACAGTTGTGAGAATCCTATTTCTACAGTTGGAACATGGAAGGTCTTCCATGAGAGAGGCCAGTTCTCCAGTTTAATATTACATGTCAGGCAAGGCTGGAGGAAAGCATTTGGCTTTTGGTTTATAGGTACAGGAAATAATGGTGGAAAGAATGGTGTCTGGGATAGTGGTTAAAGCTGTATCCCTGACACTTAGCATAAAACCTGGTATGCAGTAGAATGAATGGGAAATGAACATAGATTGTAGAAACTTTCTACATCCCTCCCCTCAATCCCGCTCCGTATACGCTCAAGTGAACCATTTCTATACTTCCGACACTTAATTTGCCAAGTGATCTAAACTGTCAATATCTTCACTTTGGTTGCTTTTCCAACCTGAATCACTACGCATTGTAGATGATTATTCTAGGTTTGTACCGCATACAGCTACATCCTGACTTTACCCAATCCCTACAGGAGGTATATGTTGTTGGAGAAAATTCATGAGCAATGGTCTATTGTGAGAAACTAATCTACTAGTTGTACTCAGATGATAAGCTACTCTACAGGTATAACAGTGATGCCAAAACTTGGTTTCAAAGAGATACCAGAGAGGCTGGGTGCAGAGCTGGACACCTGTGATCTCAGCTACTTAGGAGGCTGAGGCAGGAGAATCACAAGTTTGAGGCCAGTCTTGGCCAATCTAGTGAGACTGCCTCAAAATAAAAAATGAGCTCGCTGGGTTGAATCCCCAGTACTGGGAAAAAAAATGTTACCAAAGAAAAATAGATTCCACAGTGATTTTTCTGGATGCAACAGGGGACTGATGTGCATGTGAACTTTATCTCTGCAAATGAGATGCTTCAAGGTAGAGTGTTTGAAGGGCAGCCCATGCTAGGTACTAAGAAGACCTTTTCCTCAGAAATTTTAGACTTTGCTTTGATACAATGCACCTGTTATTGTTGAAATGCTGAAATTTTCTCCAATCACAAGAGTAAACAAATGATATTGATGAAAATAATGACTGAGGAAGCCTTTGTATTGATATGAAATAGATGTTTAAATTAGAAATTATGTCCAGTGTTACCTCCCTGCCTGAAGAGATTCTTAATCCTCTTATGAGAGAAGTTCTATGTGGAGACATATTTATTTAAAAATGTATTTTACCCCCAAAACACGTATTAAGCATCTGCAATAGAAATTAAAGACCAATAAGACATGGGATCTACCTCCAAGATGTTTCTATTTCAGTGGGGGAGACAGACAAGTAGATCAATAGTTGTGGGGTTTTTTTGTTTTGTTTCGTTTTTGGTACCGGGGATTGAACTCAGGTTGTTGCACTTGCGCAGCAGGTGGTAAAACCACTGAGCTAAATGCCCGGCCCCCGATCAATAGTTGTGTAAAGCATGAATGTCATGATAGAAGCTGCTGACTACAGAAGCTCAGATGGGATCCCAGGAAGAGGTGGATAGTACCGGGGATTAAACTTGGGACCTTGTGCTTGTGAGGCAGGTGGCAGAACCACTGAACTAAATCCCTGGCCCTGGATGAGTTAAATCTTATAGGATGGAGTTCAGCTGGCTAGATGGGGAGGGAAAAGCCGACTACTCCAGGCAGAGGATAGGACTCGACCTTTCAGGGAATGCAGCCCACCTGGCATGAAGGCTGCCTGTATACACAGAGGATCAGAGAATGTTAATCAGAAAATATTCTTTAATATTCTGGACAAATTATCTGCCTGCCACATGCAGGATAACTGAAAGGAGGTAAGGTCAGAGGCTTTCTGTCTAAGGGGAAGCAGATTTCTGGCTTGTGAGACTGGGGGTTCCCCTAAGAGCACAGCTTTCTGCTCAGGTGAAAGTGACTTTTTTCTTGTGTTGCTGGGGATTGAACCCAGAGTCTTTGCACTGAGCTACATCCCTAGCTCTTTGAAAGATTTTTTTTGCCTCATTAAGTTTATTGGTACATTTTAGGTATACAATACAGTTACATTCATCATTGGGATCTTGTATCATTACATGAGTATCTTGGTTCTTATTTTTTCCCCTTCCCCTGCCCTCCCTTCACCCCCTCC